GTATGAAACATTATCATCTTTCTTGCCCTAAGCTAAATCAAGAGCGTGCTAACCGATATGGTCAGAGTCTACTGAAATGTATTGACGTTATTTGGAAAAGTATGTTGTAGATTTTAATAAGGCATTTTAAAGAATTGATTTTTTCTTTTCTATTTCCATATCTTCCTGACATTGTGTAAAATTTGTTAGGGTGGCGTATCACCACATCACAACATTAGTTTTTTCATAACATGATTAACCTTCACGTTCCATCTAATGTAAGTGGTGTTGAAAATGTCATTCTGTATCTCGCCAAAGGAGTATGTTAGAGCCTATGTTTGTAAGGATTATGCCCATTATTTTTCGATGCGAATGTTCATCTGGCCATACTGCCATAGGTAGAGTATTAGGTACGAATGTGAACTTATGATTTCTTGCAACTACATTGGACGTAGCCCAAGTCCCACTGCCAAATATTAAATCGTAAGATACAGTGTATGTACATACTTTATACATCCGAGACCAATATACAAACCTGACAACAACTGAGGTGACACATGACCCTTCTCAAGACAAAAGATCCTTCATCAAACAATATAAAAACATCAGGATTACTCGCAAGAGCCGTCCTTGCTCACCGAATACGGAGTATGGTCCCTCACCCTCTGTATCATAGGTCGATTAATCATAATTTTCTTCTGCTGTGAGAGCACAAAAAACATACAGTTGTACACACAAGCGGCGCACGTCCTCAAACACCAGACTCTCAAGCAAATAAACATATTTATTAATTTGTTGAGCCTTCAATATGACGTTTATAGCACAGGAAAGCTAGTATAGATGTTTTTTTATCAGACTTCCAATCAGGTTTTTCGATTCGCGATGTTTCAACTGAGGTGATCTTTAATTGTGAAATGGAGAACATGCTTCTTTCTTGACTATGCTGGGTGATGACATATCCGGTGGTTGGTTGTGACGTGTCCTTCGTTGGTTGTGTTGCACATGCTTAATGTTTCTTACAATCGCTTGTCATACTGGTAAACATTTTCATTCATTATTATGAATGCCCCTTCCTTGAAGCTTCTCCGGTACCAGTGTGTTTCTTTGCGTAAGATCTTAGCATGATCTCAAAATACTTTGTAGAGACACGTCACAACCAACCCCAGTTACGTTACAAACTGTAAAAACAGCCGAGGAACGAGCATGTTCACCAGTTCACATGTGACGATTGAAGATCACATCAATTGAAACATCGCGAATTAAAAAACCTTATAGACAATCGGAGTCCGAAACACTATATCTCAATCATTGTAATCAATTTTCAGACAACTACTTGACGTTCCACATACTTGCAGATCGCAGATCTACAAAGTGACTACGGTTATTGCCTTGTAGAGATTTTTCTAATTGTCGGCCGAGAAATGCTTCTTTCTTAGGTAATTTTTTATACTTACTCCTCTACGGATCTTATCATTTTCCACAAGATTTCATTTTTTACAAAAACCTTACCATATGTGGTACTTAAAATCGAGTAATTTGCCTAGAATATTAAGTAGGCTACAATTCGCGATTATTTATTATGCGAAACATATCGGCTGGATATATTTGTGAAACTGTATACTTATTTTGTATTTGTACGCCTTTTGTTGGGTACTTCGACAAAATTTAAGCAAAGAGTCCTCTTTCTATATATATATATATATACGAGCCCCTTCCCACTTCAGTTGGCCCAACTAATGAAATCTTAGTTTTTTCTTATCAAACACAAATAATAAAAATGTAGCCGGGCGTTATAGGTTTAAAATATTAACAATGAATACTTTTATAATATATAGTAGAAAAGACCAACTTTATCAATCCTTAATCAAATTTGCAGCATAAAAATAACACATGTTGCAATTACAACATATCAACCTATTTTTATTTCAATGCAAAATGAGTCTATAACGCATAGGTGGCTGTGAAAAATAAAAGCCATGACAATTGTTTTTATTAATCACAGCTGTCAAAATACGTTTAAAATAGTTTTGGGTAGTTAAGGTTTTCAAAATGGGTAGAGGAAAGGTTATTAGTGAGAAAATTCGGTTACTGATAATTAAATTCTTTAATTCTGGGAAATCAAACTCAGAAATTGCAACTTTGTTAGACTTATCGCGGTACAGTGTGAGAAATATTGTTAGAAGATATAACGTAACTGGGTCAGTTAATATTAAGCCACGATATGTGAAAAAACTAATATCACAAATGCCGACCGAAGAGCATTAAGAAGAATAATCGTAAAAAACAGGCGTGCCAATTATTTACAATTAAGTGCTCTGTGGAGTGACGCTGTTGGAAAAAGAATTTCGAAGTCCACAGCTCATAGAGAGGCCCACAAACTGGGATTTAGCACTTGCAAGGTAAGTTTTCTTATAAAAAAAGTATGTCATCAAAAGGAGTAGGAAAACTTCATTTTATTGATGGAAATGTGGATACAAACAAATATTTGTCAATTTTAGAAGAATTGCTTTTACCAGTGATGGAAGAATGTTTGACATCCGGCCAAGATTTTGTGTTTCAGCAAGATGGTGCAGCGTGCCATACCTCAAAAAAGGCTATAAATGGATGGAAGAAAATAATGTACCACTTTTGAAATGGGTTTCTAGCAGTCCAGATCTGTCACCTATTGAAACTTTGTGGCACGAGATGAAAAAGGTTCTACGACAACATCCTGCTCGTACAATCACCGAACTGAGACAAAAACTTCAAGAAATATGGGATTCTTTTACACCAAATCTTTGCCAAAACTTGGTTAACACTATGCCCCAAAGAATTTCAGCCGTAACAAAAAATAATGGTGATGTTACCCAATGGTAATCTTTCAATTGTTGCTTTGTTAACTTCGCGCATTTATTCGCACAGTGTCTATTTGTTCAGATGTTCTATTAGTTATAGGTCTAAGTGATTTCAAATATGTATTTTTTACGACTAGAGTGTATCTAAAATGTTTTTGAGAGAATAAATTGTTTTAGAAGTAAATAGCTTCGTCATGTTTAGTTTATAAAGGCATATTTTGGTACAAATCTTGAAGTGGGCCAACTGAAGTGGGAAGGGGCTCGTATATATATATGTATATATATATATTATTGTTCGAGTCTATTTACTTGACTCCATTTCCACCATTTTATTAAGTCACGACAACGAATGCAGACTAGGTAGAAGGAGCCAGTCAAGGATTTGCTGGCCTCCTGTTTCTCAAGGTCTGTAGTTACCATCAAAGTGCATACTACAAGTGCACTTGACATAAGTCAATTTTTTGACAGTTCTGTCATTAAATTCATATCTTTTATTTTTGTTTTAAATACGAGTGTTTGTAGATAATTGTGGTGTTGCACGATTTCAAGATATAGTACTTCTTACATAATTCGACAGGAGCAGCACAAACCTAATGATGTTTCCACCGGTAATTATATTTATTGTACTGACACAACGCTATCACTTTTGTAGGCAATGGTAGTTAAACAAACGAACGTGTAGTCTTGGCTTCTATACGAATTCATTGAGTAACCGCAAGTTTTTTAAATACTGATGGAGCCTTTTAGACAGAAACCTAAATACCGAGGCACAGCGAATGCTATAACAAGCTGAAAGACACACAGTTAAGATCGAAAGGAGAAGCCTGGCAGGTCTGGCAGGCAGGCTTAACGCACGGCGGCATCATGGAAGAGAGCTCTGTGGAGCAAAGCAAACATATGGGTAGTACTCAAAGCGTGAGGATATTATATACAGAAAAGAAGTTCCTAGCCCTAAATAGGTAACCCAACGTTTTCTCAGCAGCTCTTCCTTGGTAAAACTCGAACATCCATTGAAACCGGATGTACGATGGGACGCTTCTTGCTAGTCAGGATACACTACTGTATTTTGGAAGCATTAAACTTTTCCAAACCAGTTAAAACTTCCACATGTTTCGTTAGCGCAGCTCACTCGATCAGAATCAATATCAAAATTAATTATATTTCAATGAAATCTAATTGTCCTTGACTATACAAAACCCACCGTACCCCAATATGACGTTTAGACACTGGAGAGCGTAGGGGTTCAGAAGAAGTGATCTTTTGTGCCGCAATATTTGTATGAGAATGCAAATAGTCGGGTTGGCGATGGGTGGTTCAAGTTGACTTTGAGGGGGTGAAGTACTGGATAGGGTGGCTTAGTTTGGATGAGGTTCTTCTTGAGAATGCAGATTCGACAAGATGTATGTGCATAATGGTATGTAGGGTGTTATAAAATATGCCAAATCGTATGGAACACAAATGTGAGAAGCAATTACATCCTACGGAGGAGCGCTAATTTGAAAAGAAATTTATACAGTTTTGCGTTCAAAATGATCCTCTTTATCACATATAAGTATATCTACATATCCAGGGGCCTGATTCTAACTGAGTATTTACCCTTAAGGCTAATTTTCTAGGGAGTCCACTTACTCCTTTAGCACAAGATGGTGTTTGCAGAAAACACCTCGCTCGTTTCGATCACAGGAACGTTGTAAGCCTAACACAATACAGTTCATCATTTTACACCCTGTATAATAATGGCTTCAAGAGTACTATTATTAAGAAACCTGATCACTCATGCCACTTTGAGCAAAAGAGTCTTTTCTCAATGCCACTGCAAACAATTCACATTGTAGCCAATCTCCAAAAACTTGGATAAGAGCGTAATATTGGATTAAGTCACCTGAAAAGATCTGTTTTTTTTTGAATAATTGATTAGAAATCCCTTAAAAAAATAAATGAGTTCTCAAAATAATAAATTGTATCCTATGTTTCGGAAACACCGTATATGTATTTGTTTATTGCACACACTTTTTTTGACTTGTACCTCAGTGTCTATATTTATAATAATTGCTTCAATGCAAAGATTATTTTTGCGAACTTCTTATCTACGAGTGTTCCGAACCAATTTAGTATTTACTCGTGGATTTTCTTTGTATTTTCTGGAAAAGTTCTTCTTTTTAGGGAATGTGTATAAAAAAATGTTACCTGGATACGTGCCTCAGGTAATCCTATTTTCTCCGCTAGCCGCTCCCTGGCAAAGACGTCTGGATAGTGAGTTCGTTCAAATTCTGGAATAAAAAATTCTCTGTCACGCATAGCAGTATTTATTTCTAGTATTAATTTTGCAGAGAAACATTCCGAATTGGTAACGCTTACCATATACCCGTCTCTTTGATTAATCATCGCAACAAGTGCCAATTAAATTTGCAACAACCTTAACCGAGCTTGATTACAATTTTGGTCGGCTTTGTGTTTCTTTTATTTTTGATGCACACATGGTCATAAGTGAAGTACTGATATCTATAGGGTGTCCCACGTAGCGATCTACTATTAAAAATGTTGACGCAAATCAGGTACTAAAATTTGGGATTAGAGTACAACTGATGGGAACAATTTGGCTAAATTTTTGATTCTACGCAGGATTTTAAATATATTTCTTATATATGTATAAGTATACGTATAGTATATACATTTTTGCTTTTGCCTTATGACTTGTAGCGGCTTTCTTAGAGTAGCAGACCTACTTCAGCGGTTTAAAAGGAGAAAGATAGATTTGAAAAAAACTTAGTCACTTCTAAATGGAAACAATGTTGAATTTGTTCTTTTTTTCTTGCCTAAATGCGGTGACAGAGTGATATGCTTAGTGCTTCACCCGATTCGCACCATGGCCAACTGAGATTATCTTATTATTATTATTATTATTAATAAACAACAAATTTGAGTTGAGTATAAGTACTATAAACTCAAACACATAATAGATAAATAATAGTGTACAGACAAAAGAAATATAACAATTTGACAATCTTAGCACTTCTGAAGTAGACATATACAGAATGGGAACAATATGTTAAGCACTGCGGTGTCTATCATAATTGTTTTTGAAACTGTTAACGCATGCTGAGTTCACTACATAAGATGGAAGACTGTTCCATGCATCGAAGACACGGTTTGAGATAACGCGCTGACGAGTAGAGGTACTAAAAGCTTCCTTCTGCAATTTGAAGTTATGGCCTCTGAGATTGTTCGTTGTCATGCGAAACAGATGCGACATGTCCACACCAAACAAATTATGCAGTGCTCTGAAAGTGATGATCTCCTCGCATTCTTCTATCAGCAAAAGCAGGCAGGTTATATAACTCGAGGCCGTCTTCATAAATTGCTTTACGTGTGGCATAAGGCATACGTGTAGCACGACGCTGAACGGCCTCTAATAAGCTGCTATCGCGAACAAGGTTTGAATCCCATACCGGAGCAGCAAACTCCAGTAGGGGTCGTACGAAAGTTGTGTACAAGAAGGAGGAGGTACTAACGGTGCAACCGCTAAATGATCTTTCCATCATATATAGCAACCGCTTTGCCTTAGTTCTAAATGTGCTCCGACCAGGTGAGCAGGTCATTAACCGTCAGTTCTGTGTGAAGAAAAATAGTCTGTAAGGTATGTATGCCAATCTTATATGTTAAGTTAGGATTATTCTTTCCCAGGTGGAGAACGTAGCATTTCATGAGATTTAAAGGCGGGAGCCAAAGTTTTGACCACTTTCTGATCAGCTTGAGGTCTTCTTGAAGCACAGATGAGTTCATGGCAGTGTTATAGACTTTAGTATCATCTGCATAGATGGAACACATAGAAGAAAGTCGGATGGGAAGGTCGCTTGTATAAAGAAGAAAAAGTATTGGCCCTAGCACCGATCCTTGTGGAACTCCACTAGTAACACGATGGTTAGAAGAATAGGCGTCTCCAACACGGACGGAGAAAGATCTATCTAACAAAAAAGCTTCAATCCATAACAAAAAATTTCTCCTGATTCCGAGATGTTCAAGCTTATGCGGAACTCGATCGAAAGCTCTGGAGAATCCAGATAAACCACATCGACCGGTTCATTTGCATCTAAAGATCTGGTAGGTAGTCTAGACTGGAAACAAAGTCAGGATCATTGACAAATACCAGGTCGAGAGTTCTGGGAGTTTGGCCTTCTCTGAATCTCTTCGGATGATCTACGAGTTGGAGGAGGTTCGACTTACGCATTAAATCAATATAAGGGGCATTGTAGAAGCCTTACATGTATCTCGAACACTGTTAATTTGCAAGGTAGACACCCTTATACAAAAATAACCTTATTTTTCAATGCTTAATACGTTTAAATTTCCAAAGAAAGATGGTTTTCAAAATTGACTTTTTGCGTCTGCAAAACCTAATTTTCATTCTCTTTTAGAACCACTCTGTACTAATTATTATCCAAATCTGGAGTAAATTTTACTAAAACAGTTCCTCTAATATAAGAATCCCGTTACAAGTCATACGGCATAGAGAAAAATATAAAAAGAACTCTGTTTTTGAAATTTTTTTATGCAACATTTGAGATATATCAAAAACAGCTAGACTTGGGCTTATCATGATATACTTGATATACGAGTATATGGAGGTTCTTGTGTAGAACTCAACAATTGGAACTGCCACCATTTCGAAGATATTTTAGTTGAATTGTACTTTAAACTAAACTTTTCATAACTGTCTGATATCACCTTATTTGAATGATATTTCTACGTGGGACACCCAGTATAAATACTCAGACATAGAGCCATTTGTCGATTTATGCTGTCTTACCCTTTTCTAAACTATCAATCTGTTCGTTCGTGAAGGACGTTCGGTTCCGTTGGAGTTTCCTTTTCAGTCTCAGTCTTAGCTGTGAATCTTCGTCTCCTGAAGAGTTGTGTTCAGAGTTGCCGTCGGAGGTGTTTTCGTGCATTAAGTCGGCTGAAACAAAAAAGTTTGCCGGTTAGATCGCTGGTTAACCTAACTTTACCTAACATTATCCTGGAGAGAAAAAGTTAATGAGATACTACGACCAAGAAGTTAGTAGTCTAGGGAGTAAAACAATTTCTAATGGTAAGATTTAATTGGCTTGGATATAGGACCAGAGCATTAGCCGCCTTTATGAACGCGTTAGATCAAGCACCTCAAAACTTATTGATCTATGTAAAAGAGCATCAAAGCATAGTGAATAATGAATTATCTATATTTTACTTCTATAACATTTGACTTTACTGTCTTCAGATTTAATCCCCTGTGCTTGTCTTGCCAAATAAAGTCACATGTATTGATAGGATCTTCCTGACTGTAAACGTTTCAATCACAAATGTGATCCTCTTGAGTACAATGAGTTAAAAAAATAAGCTACACCCATGATTTGTCGATTTGTTCCCTCATTTCCTACGCCATTGATGAATAAGTTCCAAAAATGATGAAAAGACATATACATTTAGTTGGTTAGCTTAACCATCAAAACGAATATGTCGTTATGCTATGTTCATCCCTGAATTTCTCGCAAAACAAGATGGTAGAGAATTGATTATAGAGGGTGTCCCAATATTCCGCGGACATAGAAATACCACATATCTTAAAACTCAAAATAAGTCATGGACATGATTCATCTTTATACGAAAGTGCTTCATTCGTCCTTCAGAGGGCATCAAAGTCTTCTTTTTAAATCACATTTTTTCGGATATTCGATAGTCCGATTTGAATGAAATTTAAAACACATGTGTTTTGCTAGAAATCTCAATATTTAACTTTTACAAAAAGCCCGAACGAGTTTGAGAATGGTAAAAACGACCCCTAGATGTATATGTTAAATTATAGCAAATTTTTTTCGCAACTCTCCCCACGACTACCGTTTTTCTCTTATAAAAACAGACCATCTAGCATAGTTTTCGAGGAATACATTTTTTTCGGAGCTATATATATTTTCATTGTTAATTTGTTGCTTTTACTTCGTAAATTTTCAATTAATTAACGTTTGAGATTATTTTTGGTCAAGTTGCTGTTGCTTTTTTTTTTTTGACGAACATACTGATATGCTGTTAGTACTTGGTTTCTGCAGGAAAAGTGTTCGTGTGTATCAAGAGAGATATCTGAATCGACGAATTCCAAATTCTTTTGCAAGCATAGAGTGCCGAGAAATTGGTCGATTCCAACCTCTACGAGTTAACGCTGGGAAACCTAGGCAAACCCAAATACCGCTAGTGGAAGAAGCTGTTCTTGAAGATCTAGATATCAGCACTCGCAGATTAGAACATGAACAAGGAATACAAAAAAGCACTGTTAATTGGATTTTAAGTGAACAATTCATTCGGTCTTTTCATGTTCTTCCTGTCCAGGCATTGTTGACTGACCATCACTCACGTTTAAGATTTGTATAAAATATATCAAAGCGCGTCATTTCACAAGAAATTTTGTTTACATATGAGTCATGTTTTACCAGACGTGGTATGATAAATTTGTTTTCACATGTTTACGCTGAAGAAAATCCGCATACAGTTTCAGAAAGACATTTTCAATGAGAATTTAAAATTAACGTTCAGATGGAGACTATTAGTAGGTTTTTATATGGTCCATATAGGTTGCCTGATAAATAAAATGGAGATGTCATTTTCAACAGTGCGTTTTACCTGAATTACTAGAACTGCCTCTGAATGTAATAAGTGACAAATTTTTTATGCACGATGGTACTCCACCTCACTTTGAGCGAGCTGTAAGAAATTACTTGAATGAGAAACTTAATGGTGCATGGATTGGTAGAGGTCAAGAAGCTCCTAATCACGTTTCCCGGATCTTTCACCATACATTTGTCGTTAAAACTGGAGAAATGTTTTCAGCATGTGTCTCCTTCTGCTAGATGCACTCAGCGCCGGGCGTAACGATCAGTTTCATTTTTATGCTCGTACTGCGGCTTTGCTTCGATGGTTGCTGTCGCGACGAAATGGAAAGGGACAACGTTGCCAGATGGACGGTAACTACCGGTAGAACAGGGCATTTCTGTCTCAAGACTAACTGTATGGGCCTGATTGACTGACTCGATCGGTTTACTTTTTCTATTCTATATGTCCATAACTAATTTTTTTCTTAGAGGGTTTAAAGGGCTGGAAATAATCCTTTGTCTTATGATGGCGTTGTGTAGAAACTGCAGAGTCAACCTACTCGACGCCATTTTTAACATTTAATTGATTCGATCGCGTTTACAAAAAAGCGGATAGTACAGGGTGTCCGCAAAGTTGGGGTTGTCCTTTTCAGAAACAACTACCCTTGAAATAACAAAGGTAATGTGTAGTGAAACGAGGGCGACCAAGTAAAAAAAATAAAGGAAAAAGTACTCACTCTCCAGTTGACGAGAAGGGCTAAGTACGTCTCTACCCGAAATCATACGGCTCCAACAGAAAATGAAATCAGCTGATGCGCTACCGAGCAGACGCAGGCGGTGGTGCAGACGCAGGCGGTGGTGCAGACCACGAACAGAGGTAACAAATATGACGGCGTTGCCGCGTTTTCAGTTTTTAGGTAAACGTAGTTTATAGGTATTGTTCGAAGTTATCGCCGTTTGATTCAAAAACACAGGTGCGTGCACGACGTAGCCAAGCATCGGTGCAGGCTTTGAGAATGGAGTCCCTCCCCCGAATGAAAGCACCAGCTTCAATTCTGAGACGAAGTTCGTCAACCGTATGCACTTCAGTTTTGTACACTAAGCGTTTCATTTCTCCCCAAAGAAAAAAATCACATGGTGTTAAGTCTGGAGAGCGCGTAGGCCACGCTACGGGTCCATTACGTCCGATCCACCTATTCGGAAATAATTCATTCAAAAACTCACACACTTCGCGTCTAAAATGGGGCGGTGCACCATCGTGCCGAAACCACATTGATTGTCTTACACTTAATGGCACATCTTCTAACAAGGAAGGCAAAATGTTGGATAAAAAGTCTAGGTATTGCATCCCGTTCAATCGATTTGGGAGAATAAATGATCCAATGAACATACCGTTCACCATGCCAGCCCAAACATTCACCGAAAATGTTTGTTGAAACTGTGCCCGACGGACAGCGTGCGGATTTTCTACTGACCAAACATGAGTGTTGCGAACGTTATTCACCCCATTACGCGTGAACGCAGATTCGTCTGTCACCAATATGCACTTCAAAAAGTCCAGATTATTGTCATGTTGATGCAACAACCACTCACAAAACCGCACTCTTGCTGGAAAATCGTCAGGTTGAAGGGCTTGTACACGTTGGACGTGAAACGGATACAGCCCCTCTTCACGCAGCGTTTGCCACACTTTAGTTTTTGATACTTGCACTTCTCTAGCCACGTCTCTAGTGCTTGTTGAGGGATTCTCGTCTACGCGATTCGGTAGTTCTTCCTCAACTTGCACCATTCGTGGTTGTCTAGGCCTCCCACTGTGCCCACCTCGAAATTCCTCCAAATGGCCCGTATCCCTGACTCTCTGGACCAGGTACACAAATCTGCGGGGCCTTGGATGATGTCGTCTAGGGAAACGATCTGCATACACTCGCGAAGCCTCTGTAGCATTTTGAAGACATTCGCCATAAATTAACAACATATCGAGTTCATTATTGTTGTATGAGTGTGCCATTATTATTTTTTTTGAAACGCAATCGATTATACGGGTTCGTTTACCTCTACACGCGTGACCGTAACCGTCGGTTGAAGGTTGCATACTGACCTGACACACTGACCCCGACCCAGTTATGTCGTCGGGATGAGCCAGTGACCTTGTACCACTCGGCGATGTCGCGGGTCGCGGCTACAGGACGGTATTCAGATATTTTTGATGTTGCAGAGCCCTTTATCTCGGTTCCCTTAAGACATTGGTGTATATGGTACTAAGAAAAATTGCTTATGTTTTCAAGATCTACACGTCGTGTAAAGGAAAACCCCAACTTTGCGGACACCCTGTATACACATGGCAACAGCAATCATTAGAAAGCGGTATTCTAATGGTACAAACAAAAAAGTGTTTCGCCGTACACTTAGCAAAAAACGTGATCACTCCCTGGGGTATAGTAACATTCTAGAAAGCGATTTACCACCCGCGGACATCCTTCTTGCCCCTAAACCGAGCAACCCGCAACCTCCCGGTGCGCGCGAACAATTCATCGTCGTTTAATTGTGTCTTTCGCCAGGCCATTGTTTTCCCGGGAAACGCGGTGGGAAGGTTGGGAAGTACTTTTTGCTCTTCGCCATCAGCTCGGCTGGCGCCCAGCACCCGCCCGTTGTCGAGCATTGCGACCAAATTTACCGCTAACACAATTACCAGTTTAGGTTGGGCGGCATGGCAGGCCCGCTCACACGGAAGTTATGTCCGCTGTCGGAATGCGTCCGCTGGGGGTTGCTGCTGAACATACGGTGCAATGTTGCCGAAGTGATGAGGGAGATCTTCGAAGGTGAAACGACTGATATTTAAATTTTTAACATGTAAATTCCAACACGATGTCGATTTGGAGGAAAGGTTTTGCGCAACATCGTCATCAGTTGATAAGCACAAGTTAAGGGCCCTGAGAAAAAAATAGTAAAATTAGATTCGACCATGTAGAACAGAAACATTAAGCGCCCTGCCGGTAGTTACCATCCATCTGCGAACTTGCCCTTTCCCAGATCGTCAGACGCGGCAGCGCCTACCGCGGTACCGCTGAAGTGCGAGAAAAACAGTCACCCAGACCGGCACGCCGAGCATTGAGCACAAATAGCAGAAGGAGATGCGGAACGAAAACATGTCTGTATCATTCTAATCCCTAAAGACACATGTACATAGGAACCTATGAGGTGTGAAGTAGTCACCCAAACCAGCACGCCGACCGGCGAGCAAAGATATGAGAGTGGATGCATGTCGAAAACATTGCTG